ATCATGTTTTGATTGTGTCCCAGTCATGTTGTGATGGTGTCCCGGTCCTGTTTTGATGGTGTCCCGGTCATGTTGTGATGGTGTCCCGGTCATGTTGTGATGGTGTCCCGGTCATGTTTTGATGGCGTCCCGGTCGTGTTGTGATGGTGTCCCGGTCCTGTTGTGATGGTGTCCTGGTCATGTTTTGGCGGTGTGCCGGTTATGTTTTGATGGTGTCCGGGTCATGTGACGGTGTCCCGGTCATGTTGTGATAGTGTCCCGGTCATGTTGTGACGGTGTCCCCGTCATGTCATGCTGGTGTCCCGGTCACCTTGTGATGGTGTCCCGGTTATGTTGCGATGGTGTCCCAATCATGTTGTGACGGTGTCCCAGTCATGTTGTGATGGTGCCCTGGTCATTTTGTGATGGCGTCCCGGTTATGTGATGATGGTGTCCAAGGAAGAGATGGTCGATGTGTTGAAAACAGCAGCTGTTTCCAGATTTTTCTTTTTGTCCCGGTTTGTATCTTGCTATTGGGGTCTCCAGCTGGGCTAATTCTTTTGGGTCGTTGGGGCAGTCTCTCCACCAATCAAATTCTGCGTGAGGAAAGCAGGAGAGTGGCAGCAGGCCCTTAATTTGCTCGACAAGTTGCAAAGCCCATCAGTGGTGAGCTTCAATACCGTAACTGGGCTGATTTGCTGCTCAATGCCTCAATAAACTTTTTTGTTGACACTTCTGCAGGGCAGTTACGAACAAGACAGGACAGAAAGCAGTAGGATGGAGGACCAAGGCAAAGTGTTTTTTACTGTTTGCGCAGCAGGTCACGTTTTGAGCCTCCAGCAGGCCCCTTTTTTCCCGAACTCGTTTGAGACATCCACCAAAGTTCTGACATTGTGTTATCATGCCTTCGAGCTTGCATGATCTTCTATCATCTTCCATCAACACATCATAGTACATCTCAAGCACAGCCGTCGTTTTTTTTCTTTTCAAATAAGCTTTCTTAGGCCATCAGTGCATGTGGCCGAGCCAAGCGCTGGCAAAGAGCCTTGGAGCTCTTAAGCGAGGTCTTTGAGAGGCACTTGGAAGGCGCCACCCGGGGGCACCGGTGGGTTGAACCAGCGGGACATGTGGGTGTGGATGGGTTGGATGTGGTGTGAACCGGCAAGTCGGCACCTATAAAGGTGTGTTTTTGCAGGTGTATAGAGGTGTGTATGGATGGAGCGATGGCCTCCAACCTACTGAATATATGTCTCAGTAAAGATGAGCGTTTTCCGGACCTTCCTCTCAAGGGCATGTTTTCAGGACTTAGTTGGTGGGTAGAGGCTGCCACTGCTGTCTTCGACGTGTCCACGCGTGCCTCCTGTCCGTTCCACTGCAGTGGATCCTGCTTGCCGTGGTTCGTGGCTGGCTTTTCCTTGGGCCTCATCTTGGCTCTTTTCCTCCTCCTTGCTGCCTTCATCTACTTGGTTCCTCTCCTTCACAGGGGACGGCACACCCCGTTTGATTTCACTCGGCTGGAGGTGGTCCAAAAGAGGCCGGTGGAGGTGGATCGTCAAGCCAGGCTGGCAGCCTACGTTGACTAGTGGATGAGTTCTAGTGTCACAAAGGAGGACATCCACTTGTTGATTTCTGCTGTGAATCGCTTGAGCATTGCCTTGGAACGTGGAGCATCTTTGGTTTCTTCATCTCCTTCATCCAGCAGCCTGGTCATTTCCATTGCTGGTTGGGAAGTTGTGGAGCCTGGAGCCGATCAGCCGTATATTGTTGAGATCGACCGCCTGAGAGTGTTTGAGGACGGGCCCCAACCGGTGCCTGAGCACCTCTTCATTTCAGCAGCTCCTCGACTCTCCAACGTTGCAGGTGATCCCAAAGAGCGAATCACACGTGCTTGGCGGGCTGGTTTTTGGTGCTGGGCGGCTGTGGCTACCCACTCTGAATACAAGCAGGCAGAGTCCATCTCGGTCTCAGACACTCAGTGGCTGATTTTTCGTCACTCCCGGGTTTCAGCTCCAGTGAGGGTTCGCAAGATTACAGATTTGAGGTTTTTGCTCGCTTCTCAAGCCCCTCACAGTGATCCAGCAGTCTACCAGGGCTTCGCATCGATTACGGAGGTTCAGGTGTGCTGCGCCAGCTACGGTGTAGGGGTCCCTCCCCTATACCAATGCAAAAGTCAGAGTTGAAGTGTGCTGGAGACAGGGTGGACTTTTCCTTGATGGTGGCCACCCTTACGCCTCCAGTGGTGGAGTCAGTGACGGAGCTTTTTGTGCTGCCTCTCATTGCTCGTGGAGGCGGTTTTCTTGCATGTATCCCATATGGGGTGTTGGACGAATCTTTTGTGGCTGAGGGGTCTGGTTTGGAGCTTGCACCTTCCTGGCTTGGCATGGGCTCACTTTTTGACGTTCCGCTGATTGAGGAAGGCGATGATGGTGCTATGGTTCCTCTTGGTATTAGTGGCCCGGTGTTGGTCATTGACGTCAGTGATGAGTTCCTGAACTTTGCCAGAATTTTCGACCTGTGACAGATTCAGACATTGAGATCGTCCCGTACCACCCTGACAATACATCGTGCATTCCTCAAATTGATGTTCTCCTGAAGCGTGTCAAAGAATGGCTTCAAGAGAGGACGGATCAGATGGCAGCTTTTTATTCGGCTCTAGAGGACCCGGAGGTGGCTGTCAAGGCAAAGGCTGGTCAGAGGAAGTCCACTGCGGCCCCGAAGCGGGTCACAAACGCCGTCCTCATGGAGCAGCTCAGTGCACTCACAACACAAATTCAGGTTCTGTCGGCACGCCAAGATTTGTTGGAGGGGTCGCAGAGCCACTCTGCGGCTGCTGGGATTTCAAAGCCTGCAGAAGCTGTTGGAGGGCGAGGTGGTGGCAATATCAACAAGCTTCCGGACTTGTCCGCAGGGCTCGATTTCGTGGAGGGCCCCTCTCTTTCGGTGGCAAAGGCTTTACAAGTGGTGGGACTTCCGCCAAGGACAAGAATGGGACAGACCACATCACCCTCGTCAAAGCATGTCAAGCATCAGAGTCCGGAGGAGCCAGATGCGCTGCTGGTTGGAAGCTCAGGCAATGCTGCTCAAGATCCAGAGGCTATCATCAACGCCCTCTCTCAACAGAGCACTGCCCTGACAGCTTTGGTTGCTCACATGACCCAGCAAGGAGGAGATCCGATGCTAGATTTACAATCCGGCTTTATGAGCTCCTCAAGCATGAAGGGAGTTCAGAGACGCGAGAAGCTGCAGGCAGAACTGGCAGCTCGCAGCGGCAACTTCTTCCTCCTGATGATGCAACAGGTGCACAAGAAACTTCATCCAGGTCGAGCTCTTCCTCGATCAGAACAGGAGCTGGGCAGTGTTTCAATGGTGGAGTATTTAGAGAAATCCGGAGGGTACAAAAACCAGAAGACTTTGGGGCTCATACAGTGGATCCTGGCTCATGCGATCGATGCTGCAGCCCAAGAAGATTTTGCTGGTATGAAGGAGATTGTTGCTTTGCTTGCTATGTCGGTCGAACAGGCCAATTACGACAATGGGGATTGGGCTGTGGCATACCTCGTGAGTTTGCACGAAGACCCTCCTATACAGCTGTTTCAGGAACGCTCGGTCCAGGTCTCGACAACCAGCAGGCCGTTCAGCCCGTTGATACCCCCTGCCTGGACAGCCACGACCTTGAGTTACATCAAGGACCTGGAAGTGTTGGCAAACAAGAAGCCCGACCTTTCGAAGCGAACAGGACAGCAGCAACAAAAGGAGCAAATCTCCGAGACCCCTCAATCCGGATCTCCAAAGAGGAAGCCCCGCTATCCAAAGCGCCCCAAGGCGGGCGCGGAAGGTGCCCAGTGACAAAGAAGCAGGACTGCATGAGGTGCAAGGCTGGCTCCGGAGCGAGTTTTCCACCGGTTCCTGATAGAATTCATGTTAAGTCAAAAATTGGCTATGAGAATGTCCCCAAGGAGGTCCTTGACACAGAGGAGGGTAACTTCAAGCTACACTCTTCTGC